TCAACTACTCATTGACATCTTCATTTTGAGGTTATTTCCAGCTTGAAAACATGCTAAATAGGGTGGGCCCATAGTGTTTAACAAGTCACAAGCCAGACATGTTCTTTGTCTTCTCTGTTTACTCATATTCATGGCTGTTGAAGTTGTAGCCAGGTAGTCCAAAAGACAGATACTTTATGAAGCCAAAAGCATAAATATAAAGACAATTCAGTCTGTTCCCGGAAAAAAAATAACCCAAACACTGCAACCGTCATCATAACTTATTAAAGAAAGCTGTGTATTTTTTCTGTGTGATATAGTGGAGCTCTACATTATGAATCACCAATTCAAATGAAAGAAGAGGCAGATTCAATATGTACAAGAATCTCATTTTTGTAGAATGGCCTGGGGTGGTCTAAGTGTCTAAAAATGTGTGTAATGGAAGCAGGCTTAGCCTAGATTTCCTACAAAGATTTGTACTTATATTTCACCTGGCATGATTTGTTGCAGCTAATCTTACCACCTTGCCTCATAAGTGTGCCGTGAAAACCTGTTATTCAATTCTGGTACTGGCTTTGCTTTTCTAGTGTTTTATTTAACCACTATATTTTTAGGATAAAGTCAAAAGGAAGATGCAGAACAAAAAGGCAGAGAAACATCTAGGTACCATAAATTTACTTGGTAAAGCTCGTAGTTGATGTTGGGTTTGCGAAGTGCATATGAGATGGTGCCTTTGATCACCTTACTGGAAGCAATGGTTGTGCTGTGCATTTACTATCATGATTCACAAATTTTTCTGAAAAATCCTTTAACATTAACCAGCTCAAAGGCAACTTTGTCATTATTTGGCTGTGAAATATTTTTGAGGGGAGGGGGGCATGATGATGGTAAGAAAATTGCTATAATGTTTCAGAGTTGTAGAGAACTGCAGCCATGTTTCCATTATGTTATTTAGGTCTTAAGCACAAAAGACTATTTATTTTCTAAGATGTCTAAGAAGCCTGGTAATATCATTAATTTTTTAGATCTAATTTTTATTTTAAAAATAAAAAGCCAGGCATCTCTATCAAATAAAGTTATACTACAGTGTTACAAATCTTTTCATGTCAAACGTGTAATAATTTTGTATGGTTTAGAATACAAGCAAACATTTCCCAGTCATTACTCATGGAGATTTATGAAATACCTGGGGGTGGGTATCAGCAGAGCTGATGATGGGGACTGGCAGTGTTCTCCCTGGCGCTGAGGGTGTGTCACGGAGGGGGACACTCCGTCTCTGGTGTTAACCTGGGTGTGTGTCTTTGTGAGCCAAAGATGAGATTCCCCGCTGGTATGCAGGAATTGGCATGCTGTGCTGTGGCTAGCAAGCTTTTGGCAAATAAACTCTCTGACTTGGAGGTTTTTGAGTTTCCTGTAGTAAGGAGACATTCTGACTCATATGGTTCCAAGGTTGGTTAGCCCAGACTCCCTGTGTACCCTGTCTCATGTGTGTGGCAGCAAATGGGAGGGGCGACATATCAAACTGTGTGTTTTATCAACATACCGGATAAATATGCCAGCTTATTGACAAAATAGGATGCCTTCTCAGTATATCCATCTCAACTCACTGTACTTGCAAAACAAAAAACCTGTGAAGATGTGTTCCTAACTCAGAACACATGGGAAAAAAGAAAAAAGAAACGTTTAAATTATGACTTTCTTCTGGGGACCTGTATTTCTTACTAAGCTGGAATCACAAAAGGACTTATTGCTACTTATAGAAAAAAAAAAATCTGTTTTCAGTAGCGATAGTAATTTGAGATTTGTTTTTATTTTCAGGAAGACTTTTATGGAAATAACCTTGATTTTATTAGCTTGTGTTCTATTTTATACCACAATCAGAAAGAATGAACAATTAACAGAGTTAATAGTCTTAAAGATAAGATAGGAATGCTTTCTATATGTGTTTGTGAGGTCATAAGGTTTCAAGAAAAAAACCAACAAAACCACATGAACATTGGTAGCTTGTCTGTCATCAGCATGAACAAAACCACTGGTGCGTCCCTTTTCTCTTTCTTCTCAATGTAATTTGAAAAAATTATTTCTCACTCAAGTCAACACTATCATTTATCTCAAAGGAGTGTTTCACACTTTGACTAATTATACAATTTTAAAATTTCTGCTTACCTAAGGCTAAGATTTCTTGGCTAGCAGAAGACTTGATAGAATTTGAAAGAACATCTCATACTACAAGCTGCAAGGTCATTCAGAATTTGAAAAACAGGTGTCCAATATGGAATCTGCTATGTGGGGGTCTAAATACTAGCGAGCATTATAAAGCTAGGACTGACATAGCACCAAAAGCTGTTCATCATTAGCTTCTTTTCTCAACTGCTCTAATTCCAGGGCTGCCTTCTGATCTACCTAAGGCAGAAGGAAAACATATTAATATTTTACAGTAGTCATTTAGTTTACATAATTGTTCATGATTTACTTCATGATACCGTAAATCCCCCCAAAAGTACATTTTTACGAATGACTGTAAGAAGCTTCCTTAGCAAAACATGAAAAAATAGTATAAAGAATGTTTTTTCCTATACTGTACATTTTTCCATATTAAAAAATCAATTGAAATGAGTTTTTATACGACAGAAGTATGAAGGGTCAATTCATTCCCTCTCTTTAGTAGTCACTGAGGGGCCTGTTTTGGCAGCACTGAAGTTCTTCTAACAGCAGAGGGAATAGCAGGATTTGATCATGTCATACATGATATCTTCCATCTTACATTCATTCCAGTATTTTAAATCTACTGATATGACAGAATGTTTTCAGATCTGGAGTTTTGAAATAAAACCCAGCTATTCTTAGATAAGCTTGTATTTATGCAGCATACAATATTAGCAGGAAAAAAACAGAGATTATTTACAGAAAATCTTACCAAAATGTATGCTCTAAGAAATAAAAGATAATTATAGCTAACATATAAACCTATGTATATTTTTTAATATCATATTTATTTAAATTAAGCATTTGTCATGTAACTAATAAATATTTTTGTAGCAAATACAGAAAATTCTGCTACTGAAGAAACGTTTCAACCTGAGCCATCAGGTAGTACAAAATGCTTTCTTCTTGTGGTGAAACTACTGTGACTTCCTAAACAAATATCAACTGTCAACAAATAGATTTCCATCAGTCTTAATTTAACACAGTTCTTTAAGAAAAAGAAAAAATATTACCTATGGTTAAAGACAGTGAAACTTGACACACTTCCAGTACTGTGAAATAATACTTTGTGAGTAGAATGTCTTCTTTGATTGTAGTCATGAAATATTCTGGTATTTCAGTCCTAAAGTTAAATAACTTACAAAATTGCCATTTTTTCTTTGTCTTCTGTAGTGTATAGGAATTATTTTTAGTTACATTGGTCATTATTAAATGTGCTGGTCATATGAAGACAGAATATTTTAAGTTTGCCCTTATTTAAGTAGTAATTTCTGCAGTTTTGTGATCTCTCATCAAATACAATAATGGATGAGTGGTTTAAAGGAAAAGGAATAGCAGTAGGTTGAAGAGGACAACCCCTGTGGAGACCTTCCAAAACCTGCAGAGAATTTGTGCAAGCAGTAACATGATCATAAATGCTCTTCAGTTTGGAGGTAGCTCTGTAACTTATACAAGAATCTTGCTGTCATAATTATGTCACAGGGCTCTGCTGGAGTCTGGACAGGAGGTTCATCTGTGTGTCCACAAAGAGACGGGATGATTTGTGCCTCTCAGGTAACCCTGGGGGCCTGGAAATTACAAGGATGCATTTCAAAAGGCTTTTTTACCTGAAAATTTTCCTTCTTCATTAGTAGCTTGTCTGTCATCAATTGCTTTTCTTTTTTTGGTCTTTTTTTAGTCAAAGAGGTTTTTTATGGTGCCATTTTGCAGGTACTCTTACAGAACAGCAACTGCAGACACT